GTTGAACATAACAATGCATTTGCTTTTTCCAGTTTCTAAATTGAATTCGAAATAGTCTGTCGTTTCCTACCGGCAGCCATCATTCATGTCCGTCTTCTTTATCTATCAGTTAACTAATCTCGCTGTCAGCCTCAGTTGCATCATTCGCCATCTACAGGTGATGCACAAATAAAGCAGCCTGTTGGTTTAAACTAAAGACACACGTCCGATTTTCCGAAGTGGATCAACACTTAATTACGAAAACGATTATTTATTTTTTGGCAATTATTTTATTTTAGTTATTTTTTTAATAGCTGTTGCTAGTTTCGTTGAGTTTTAGTTTTTCAGTTATTATGAATTTTTAATGTTATTTCAGTTTACGAAAATGTTTTTTAACCAATAGTTTTCGTCTTAGTTTCAGTTTTCGTTTACGAAAATAACCTTGCTGTAGATGATATTTTCGACCTCTTTGAAATTTTACACCGAGGAACTTTTTCCCTGAAGTTGCTCCACTATTTGTCGATGCAATATTAGGAGGATTGGTGATCCTCCGTCCATCTTTACTTCTGAATGACATTGCAACTCTAAGACGCTCTTTTTATACCCAATCATGTTCCTGACCTGTTGCCAATTGACCTAATTATTTGCAAATTGTTCCTCCAGCTGTTGGGTTTTTGTACCACTAACTTTTCCAGCCTCCTATTGCCCCCGTCCCAACTTTTTTAAGACGTGTTGCTGTCATGAAATTCAAAATGAGCCAATATTTTTCACTAAATGGCAAAATGTCTCACTTTAAACATTTTACATGTTTTATATTTTCTGTTATGAATAAAATATCAGTTTTAAGATTTATGTCATTGCATTTTGTTATTTACAATTTACCCTACGTCCCAACTTTTTTAGAATTTGTGTTTTACAAGTTGGTGAGTGTGGGACAAGTAGGGCTTAGATAGCCAGAGTGAATGACAGCTGACAGTGGAATACAATGCTGCTATTTCCAACAGCACCAAATTTAGTTTGACATTAATTTGCAGTTAATTACTACAATTTCTGGTGGATGCAAAAATGGTGTCAATAAATAAAGTCCTGATTTGATCTCTACTGACTGCATTTTTTAATAAACATCTAAAACTTATGAGGTGACCCCTCTGTACAAAATTTCACATTACCGAATAGTCTACAAGTCATTAACATTTAAGTTGTTTGGTCTGTTTACAATATAGCAGTTACATGTCTCCACAACCAGTTGAAATATTGTTCATGCTGATGATCCTTAAATGGAGCTTGGGATTTAGTGGCTGTAATTTTGACCTATCATGCTGTCTGATTCATGTGCAGATACGGGAGGGTGAATTACGTTCTGTCACGGCGATTGGAGCTGCTGCAGGAAGTGGCCAGGCTGCAGGAAAGTCTGGGTGTGTCAGGGGATGTCTCGTATACCTGTGAGACCGCCGGACACTTTTACCTGTACCAGGTGAGACCTCTGGTCTGCGTGCCTAGTGATTGACATTATTATTGCACAGATGTATTTGTAACTGAGGGATTCACATGTTCTTGCTTTTGGCATTTTTTACATTACATTTGGTATACATCACCTTAATAGCTATTCAGGATTTGTTCTCTCTGTATATCATAGCTTGGGCATGGTTCTGGATCTGCAGGGTAGTGAAATGTGCAGCTTGTTTAAACAGAATGAATGACAGAATTTCAGTGTTATCCACATTTCATGAAATTGCAAGCAATCACAATCAAACCCATACTGGTCAGCTCTTTACTATTCCCAGACTCAAATGTGACATCACACTTTCAGGTCACTAACAATGCACAATAATATAAATTATTGTTCAACTACTTAGAAAGCTCTTCAACTGTTTTGCTATTTAACTCTGTCCAGTTTACAGTTTCTAATTTCCAGTTTCTAATGGCTATTTGCTGATTATATATTTTTGATAAGACTGGTAATTACTTTAACTGAGAGTGTCTGTTTTCCCAGGTGATGTCTCGCTGGGAGGAGTACATGAGTAAAGTAAGGCCCAAACATGGCCAGCAGGTCCACGTGCAGGAAGTGGCCTCACACTTCCCCTTCCACAAGTACTTCAGCAACGCACCCCAGCCAGTGTTCAAGGGTCAGACCTACGAAGAAGACATGGACATTGCAGAGGGCTGCTTTCGACATGTCAAAAAGATCTTTACCCAGCTGGAGGCAAGTCCAAGCATCACATGCTAGTTTAAAACATCACCTGAGGTTTTAACCTGGTACTATGGCTGCGATAACACATTTTACCATTGTGATTTTATTGGATTAACCTGTAACACCTTTGCAGATGGGAACATGGTGGTGTGATTTTTCTGCCTGGTAGAAAAGGCAATGGGGGACAGATGTGGCTATCATATGATGATAAAAGGCAAGAGCAAATGTATTCCCCTGACTTTGGGGAATATGGTTTTGGGACTGGTCTGCCACCACAGGAACTTTTGCTTGTTAAGACTAAACTCAAAAACCATTTGATGGATCTTTTTCAAACTTCGTAGAGGCACTTTATGGGTGACAAACTGGAACTGATTAAATTTTGAGACGGATCACCCAAAACTGAAGTTAGTGATTTGATACATGAAGCATAGTGATTTTAATATGTGATTTAATCAATGCTTTAGGCACATTTTGATTCATCATGCCCACAAAAAAAGAAACTTTCCATGGCCCCTACAGACCTCCGTATATACCACTAGTGTATCTTATTATTCTTAATATAATTGACAGTTAAGACATGGACATTAAAACATTACACAAAGAAATACATGAAACCACCTAATCGGTGGCCAAAGATTCTGCAAATTGGCATGTAAGTAGAATAAAATAATGTTATGTAGCACAACTAGGAGCATTTAGGTAAAAACACACTTATTAACTTTCACATTTCCGGGTAATCTATCCAGTAAGAACATAAGAACTATACAAATGAGAGGAGGCCATTCGGCCCATCGCGCTCGCTTGGGGAGAACTTAACTAATAGCTCAGAGTTGTTAAAATCTTATCTAGCTCTGATTTAAAGGAACCCAAGGATTCAGCTTGCACT